GCCACATGAAAGAAAAGATAGGGAGTGTAGACACTTGGTTTGGGAGAGAAATGGGTCGCAGGTGCTGTGGAGGGGAGCCCTGGTTGCTGAGAAATGTGAGAAAGGATTACAGAGAGCAAAGTATAAGGAGAATATTTTTCCAAAGCCTTTGGCTGTAAAATGAGAGGGGCTGAAATTTAGTGAGTTCTTGCAACCAGCAGGGCTTGAGGACTGGGGTTTTAAAGGTCTGTGGGCTTGGTTGGGAAGAGCCCTGAAGGTACTTCCCTAATCCTGGACAGAAGGCAGGGAAATGACCCAGGGGCAAATAGTGTGAAAAAGGGGATCTGAAGAACACCTGGGGCACACAGGGAGAGATTATTTGCTCTTCTTGGAGTGCATCCCTGAGAGGCAGCATGCATGGAGACACCTCTCTGGGGCCAAAGGAGCTTGCAGGCACCATTTTCCTCCCCTGCCCCTCAGCTGAAACAGCAGAGCCACCTGCAAAGGGCAGCTCAGACCCATAACTGACTGCCTAGCCTGCTTGCACCAAGTCTTATGCCCCTGCACTCTGTCAAAAATTCTCTTTTCAGTGAAGTTCATTTAATTCCCAGTGTGGCAGGGCCCTCCGCCAGAACAGCACAGGCCCCTGCCCAATCACGTGTCTCTAAAGACTGGAATTTTAAAAGTCAGCAGGCTGGGCTGTGATAGAGTCCAGAGGGCATGTGTTGCTCCTGGAGAGAAAACAGGAAAACAATCCAGGGGCCAACAGTGTGGAAACCACAAAATGAAGAGCACCTCAGGCACATAGAAAGATTATTCGCTCTTGTTAGAGAGTGTCCCTGAAAGGCAGCATTTACAGGAGACACCTCTCTGGGAACAAAGGAACTGCCCAGTGTCATTTCCCCTCCTCTGCCTCTCGGCGTAAACACAGAGCCAGCTGCAGTAAGCAGCACAAAGCCCATACTGGTCTCCTAACCTGTGTACTTCAGGTCCCACACCCTCACACTGTAGCAGTACTGCCCTTCTTGGTCAAGCTTGCCTCAGTGTCAGTGCAGCATGTCCCTTCCCCATAGGACGAGCAGAAACCTCTGCCCATACCATGTCTTCGGACCAGAGAGTTCTGAAGGGCTTCAGTTCTAGTGGAAGTAGCATCAGGCCAGAGCAGACCAGAGCACACCTACCTAAAACTCAACACATTCTGAAAAAAAACAAACATTGCTCACAGCAGGTAAGGAATGCCTCTGCAGACTACTGTCCTGAAGGACAGAGAAGCCAAGATAGAGACACTCACTAAAGCACCAGGACCTGGACACTATATGACCTCTTCTTGATAAGCCCATTACTCTCAGGAGCAGGAAATATAATGGGCTTGTCTAACACAGAGAAGAAGTCAGAGACTTGGACAAAATGCCAAGTGGGAGGAATTCATCCCAGATGTAAAAACAAGATAAGGTGACAGCCAGAAACCTAGGCGAAACAGATACAAGTAACATGCCTAATGGAGAATTTAAAGCAATAATCCTAAGGATACTCACTGGGATTGAGAAAAGGATGGAAGACTTCAGGGAAGGTCTTACTGCAGAGATAAAAGAGTTAAAAACCAATCAGTCAGAAATGAAAAATGCAGCAAATGAGACTGGAAACAGACAATGCAATGAACACAAGCCTGGAAGAAGCAGAGGAACAAAAAATGGTATTTCTATAGAAGATAAAACAACGGAAAGCAATGAAGCTAAACAAAATAAAGAAGAATTATGGAACTTGAAAATAGACTTAGGGAATTCAGTGACTCCATGAAACAAAATAGCATTCATATTATGGGAGTCCCAGAGTAAAAAAAAGAGAGAAAAGGGGGAAGAAAATTTACTGAGGAAATAATACCTGAAAGCTTCCCTAATCTGGGGAAGGAAACAGACATCCAATTCCAGAAGGCACAGAGAACTTCTATTAAAAATCAACTAAAGCAGGTCAACACCAAGACATACTGTAATTAAATTTGCAAAATATAGTGATAGCAAAAAAATTTGAAAAGCAGCAAGAAAAAAGAAGTCCCTAAGTCACAAGGGAAGACCCATAAGGCTAGAGATTTTTCAACAGAAACTTGGCAAGCCAGAGGGAGTGGCATGACATATTCAAAGTAGTGAATGGGAAAAATCTGCAGCCAAGAATAATCTATCTAACAAGGTTATCATTCAGATAAAACGAGAGATAGTTTCCCAAACAAAAACTAACAGAGTTCATGACCACTAAACCAGCCCTACAAGAAATATTAAAGGCAACTCTCTGAGTGGAAGGAAGAGACCAAAAGTGGCAAAGACCAGAAAACAAACAAACAAACCCAACAAAACAAAAAACAGAGAACATCTTCAGAAACAATGGCAGAACAGGTAATAAAATGGCACTAAATACATATCTTTCAATAATTTCTCTGAATATAAATGAACTAAATTATTTCAAGAAAATACACAAGGCATCAGAGTGGATATAAAAACAACACCCATCTATATGCTGCCTATAAAAGCCTCATTTTAGACCTAAAGATACCTGAAGATTGAAAGTGAGGGGATGGAGAAACATTTATCATGCAAAATAAAGCCAGAGAAACAATACTTATATCAGAGAAACTAGACTTCTTTAAAAAGTTTTTTGAATGTTTATTTATTTTTGAAGGAGAGAGAGAAAGACAGAACATGAGCAGGGGAGGAGCAGAGAGAAAGGGAGACACAGAATCCAAAGTGGGCTCCAGGTTCAGAGCTCTCAGCACAGAGCCTGAGGCAGGGCTTGAACTCACAAACCATGAAATTATGACCTGAGCCAAAGTTGGACACTTAACCAACTGAACCACCCAGGCACCCCCAGATCTTTTTTAAGTTTATTTATTTATTTTGAGAGAGAGAGAGAGAGAGAGAGAGAGAGAGAGAGCGAGCGCGCGCACAAGTGTGGGAGGGGCAGAGATGGAGAGAGAGAATGCCAAGCAGGATCTGTGCTGTTAGCACAGTACCCGATGTGGGGTTTGATCCCACAAACCATAATAACATGACTTGAGCTAAGTTCAAGAGTCATACTTTTAACTGATTGAAACACCCAAATATATAAAACAATTAATAACAAACATAAAGGAACTCAGTGATAATAATACAATAATAGGGAATTTTAGTAGGGAATTAGTAGGGAATTTAGTAGGGAATTTTAACATCACACTTCCATCAACTGAAAGATCATGTAAGCAGATAATCAACAAGGAAACAATGGATTTGAATGACTCACTGGACCAGATGTACTTAATGGACATATTCAGAAGATTCTATCCTAAAGCAACAGAATACACATTCTTTTAAGTGCATATGGGACACTCTCCACCATAGTACAAATACTAGTTCATAAATCAAATCTGAATTAGTACAAAAAGCCTGAGATCATACCATGCATATTTTCAGTCCATAATGCTATGAAACTTGAATTCAACCATAAGAAAAAAATTGGAAAGACCACAAATACATGGGGGTTAAAAAACATGTTACTAAACAGTGAATGGTTCAACAAGGAAATCAAAGAAATTAAAAAAAACAAACAAACACGAACACAACTGAAAATGAAAACACAATGGTCCAAAACCTTTAGGATGCAGCAAAAGGGGTCCTAAGAAGGACTTATTTAACAATACAAACCTACCTCAGAAAGCAAGAAAATTCTAAAAAACAGCCTAATCTTACACCTAAAAGAGGTAGAAATAGAACAAATGAAGCCTAAAGCTAGCAGAAGGAGGGAAATAATAAAGATTACAGCAGAAATAAATTACATAGAAACTAAAAAAAACCAATCAGACCAATGAAATCAGGAGATGGTTCTTTGAAAAGAAATTATTAAAAGTGATAAACACCTAGTCAGATTTGTCAAAAAAAGAAAGGACCCAAATCAATAAAATCACAAATGAAAGATGAGAAATCACAACCAACACCACAGAAATACAAACAACTATAAGAAAATATGATGGAAAGCTATATGCCAACAAATTGGACAACCTGGAAGAAATGGCATGGCTACTCTGCCTTTCTTTTCTTTTTTAATTTTTTTCAACATTTATTTATTTTTGAGAGAAAGAGACAGAGTAGGAGTGGGAAGGGAACAGAGAGAGGAGGCACAGAATCCAAAGTAGGTTCTAGGCTCCAAGCTGTCAACACAGAGCCCGACGTGGGGCTCGAACCCACAAACCATGAGATCATGACCTGAGCCAAAGTCAGACATTTAACCGACTGAGCCACCCAGGCGCCCCTACTCTGCCTTTCTTTTGAAGTCCATTACCATGACAGAGTTTCTCTATCCTGTCACTTTCTACATGTGGATGTATTTAGGTTTAAAGTGAGTCTCCTGTAGGCATCATATAGATGGGTCTTGGGTTTTTTTATCCATTCTGATACCCATTGTCTTTTGATTAGATGGTTTAGTCCATTTGCATTCAGGGTGATTACTGGAAAATATATTAGTGCCATTGTGTTACCTGTAGAGTTGGTGTGTCTGGTGATGTTCTCTAGTCCTTTCTAGTCTTTGCTGCTTTGGGTCTTTTTTTTCCCTCACCACTCAAAAGGTCCCCCTTAATATTTCTTGCAGGGCTGGTTTAGTAGTCATGAATTCTTTTAGTTTTTGTTTGTCTGGGAAACTCTTTATCTCTCCTTCTATTCTGAATGACAGCCTTGCTGCATAAAGAATTCTTGGCTGCATATTCTTCCCATTCAGCATGTTGAATATATCTTGCCACTACTGGCCTGCCAAGTTTCTGTGGACAGATCTGCTGTGAACCTGATCTGTCTTCCTGTGTATGTTAAGGACTTTTTTCCTTTATTGCTTTCAGGATTTGTTCCTTGTCTGTGTATTTTGTGAATTTGACTATGATATGTGTTGATGATGGCCAGCTTTTGTTGAATTTAATGGGAGTTCTATGTGCTTGTTCGATTTTGATGTCTGTGTCCTTCCTCAGATTAGGGGAATTTTTAGCTATAGTTTGTTCACATAAACCTGCCCCTTCTCTCTCTTCATCTTCTGGTATTCCTATAAGAATGTTATTTTTTTTTCATATGTTGCTGAGTTCCTTACATCTACCTTAATTTTCAGTTATCTTTATCTTCTTTTCAGCTTATTTTCATTAATTTTATCTTCTAGGTCACTGATTTTTCTCCTCTGCTTCATCATTCCTTTTTTTTTTTTTAATGGCATCCATTTGGGTTTGCATCTTGGTTACAACATTTTTAATTTCAGCCTGACTAGATTTTAGGTCTTTTATCTCTGCAATAAAGGATTCTCTAGTGTCTTTTTTGTTTTTTTAAAACCCAGATAGAATTCTTATAATTGCTATTTTAAAATCTGGGTCAGACATCTTATTTATAAATGTATTGATTAAATCCCTGGCCATCATTTTTTTTTTTCTCCTTTCTCTTCCTTCCTTGGGGATGAATTCCTCATTTTTGTCATTTTGGAGGAGAAAATAACAAAATAAAAATTAAAAATGAAAAAAATCAAATAAGGAAGCTGGATCCTAGTTGTGTTTTGGTCTGCTTGTTAAGAGAAATAAAAGAGAAAAGAAATTTAATAAAAAAAAAAAAATAAGGGTGCCTGGGCAGCTTAGCTGATTAAGTGTCTGAGTCTTGATCTTGGCTCAGGTCATGATCTCACAGTTCGTGGGATCAAGCTCTGTGTCAGGCTCTGCTCCAATAGCATGGAGCCTGCTTGGGATTCTCTCTCACTGTATCGCTGCCCCTCCCCCACTTGCACTCTCTTAGTGTCTCAAATAAACTTTTTAAAAATTTTAAAAATAGAAAAAATTTTGCTCTGTATCCACAAAACCCCAACAAAAGAGCAAAATAGCAGCAACAAACAAACAAATGAAGAAAGAAAGTAAAAACCCAAATGAAGCTAGATTCTATTTCCCCTAGACCTGGAGTTTTGTAGCACTCTATGATCAGTTGCCTTAGTGCATGGAGGGAATTTTTGATGGTCTTTTGGGGGAGGAGCATGCAGCTCTGATTCTCAGGCTTACTTGCCCTAGTGGAGATGTGCCTGAAGGGCACAGGGGGCTGGGCTTGTTTTAATGGCTCAGTTCTTCACTTGGTGGTACTGTTTAGCTCACTGGGGTCATCAGTGTTGATTGCCTAATGGTTAAAATGGCTTCACCTTCCTCTCTAGTCTCTAATGCAGGAAGTTCTTGCCCTCACAGATGCACATAC